TGTGTGTGTGTGTGTGTGTGTGTGTGTGTGTGTGAGACAGAGGTGGGCGGGGCCGTCCTGCCTCCTCCTGGTGCCGCTCAGAACTCCGCGCGCACTCGGAGTTCTGCACATCTGGCCATCATCATCCTCAGCAGCAGCAGCTCGTCCGACTCGGATCTGACTGGACCAGAACCCGGACACCGAACCTGTGGACAGAACCTGTGGACCGAACCTGTGGACAGAACCTGCGGACAACTTTGTTCTTCATCTTCTTCTTTGAGTTCCTCAGAGTTCCGGACCTGCAGAACTCCGCGGAGGTTCCCGAGGCTCTCCGCCGGATGGATCGGGGGTCCCGGCTCTGATCGGAACCTGGTTCGAACCCACCGCGGCGGTTCTGGATGCAGACAGACCCTCGTGCTTTGGTTCCGGGGACGCAGCTCGAGCTCGACTCTCCTCCTCTTCCTCACCGCTCCGCGCTGCGCCATGACTTCCAGCTACGCGCACGTTCTGGACCGGCAGGGCTCGATACCGAACCGCCTGGAGAACCCCATCACGTCGAACCTGGACCAGCTCCAGGCCAAGAAGAACTTCTCCGTCAGCCACCTGCTGGACCTGGAGGAGGCCGGGGAGATGGTGGGCGCGCAGGCCGACGACAGCGTCGGGGAGGCCGGCAGGAGCATGCTGGAGTCCCCGGGGCTGACCAGCGGGAGCGACACCACCCAGCAGGACAGTAAGTCCGGCCGAACCGGGTCTGGACCGGGCCAGGGACTCATAGAGCTGAACGCAGTCATTTTCACAGAACAAAGTAAACATTTCATGAAACAATTAGAAAAATAATAATTGAGAGTTTGATGAAACATTCAACGGTTTTAAAAGGTTCAGATTATAATCTGACCAACAGAATATTATAATCTGGATTATTTAAGGGTCTCTGCATTAAAAACCTCTTCAATAAATTCCAGTAATGCCGCTTCAAGCTCTATCAGACAAAGANCTCTTGGACCTGCTGAGGTTCTGCAGGGTTCTCTGTGACGTCATCAAAGTGTCGGCCTCAAACTGGACTCATTTGTTTTCATTAACGCGGCTGCGCGTGCGGGGCGCGTGAGAGGAGGTGCTGCTCCTCCGTCAGAGCATCAAACAGACGGACCTCCTCCTCCTCCTCCTTTAATCACTGCTTTGTTTTTGTTTTGTTTTGTTTTAATTGGGGTGAAACCAGGGGGCGGAGTCACGTGGTTAATTTCCAGTTCAGTCCAATCAGCGCGCAGCTGAAGCCTCCGATCAGCTGATTAAAGACCTGACTCCATCACTTCTGGTTCCGTCCAGTTCGGACCGGAAGTTCTGTTTAAACCCGAACTTGTTCTCTAATTGGTTTTGGCGGAAGAACTAATGACGTAATGAACTAATTGTTTAATGAACTAACTCATTAAGTCATTAAAGGATGACGTCATACCTGCAGCTGCTGACACTCACAGATGTTCCTCACATCTGGACTCAGATCTGATCCAGAGTCAGACCAGATCCGTTTTCATCTGAAGAAAC